GGATAGCAGGAAGAGATCTAAGGAATAGAAATTAGATCTGAAGGAGAAAAAAACTTTAAGTTAATAAAATCAGTTTGATGTCAACGTAAAAACTCACTTTACTGTAATCTGTATTTGCAAGTAAAACGGGATATTCAGTGAGAAGAAGTGAGACTTTTGTCAATCAGGAATTGATTGGATCGTAAAAAGTGAGCGAGTCATGTGGCTGGAGGGGAGGAGTTGAAAAAACAGGGATTCATGACATCATCTGAAAGGAAAGTTGTTATATTTTGATGAAAGATCATAATTGCTGCGCCCCAATTCGCCTATACCTATACTATGCCCTAAAAGTATGTACTCTTACCTTGTGAAGAAAAAGTACATACTTTTGAGTGTGTACCAGAAGAGTAGGCAAGTTTTGGGACATGCTACTGTGTGCCACGTCATAATTTGCATCCTGTGTTATTTTAGTATTATACTATAGTTTTTATTAATATTTTGAATTAGCTTTTATTTTTATATTTTCAGTTATTATTTTAATGGTACAATGGTCATTTTATTGTTTTTTAAATTGAAATATTACTATTTAGGTTAATTTATTTTTTAATTTCAGTTTTAGTTTTTTAATTTACATTTTAGTGCTTTAACTTAAACTTATTTCAGTTAGTTGTCAAGGTAATACTGAAAAGTTTTTTTTAGTTTAAGTTTTTCATCTAATATTTAATATTTTATTTTAGCTTTAGCTTTAGCTTATAGTTTATTTTATTTCAAATAACAAAAATGTTTTTAATTTTAAGTTAACACTCCGCATTTCAGTTCATTTAATTTACAATAGTGAACAATTCTTCTTACTGTACTGGACAGAAAAGTAGAAGCACGTTGATCTGGCAGTCGAATACTCTCCTCATGTTTTTTGCATAATGATGCATTTAATAGTTAATGACCAAACGTATCTTTATAAAAGTTCACAATGTTGTTGTGGATTAATTAAATATTTTTCGTCAGGTAGTATTTATTATTGATCACTCCCCTTTACCTAAACCTCTCTACTCAGCCTCGCACGCGGCCACCACATTTGTAGTTTTTGAACACTTTTTATTTGTGTTTGTAGTTCTGAACCAAATCATCTTCAAAAAGCACAATGGGTTATGGGAAATATTAGAGCGTGCATGGATCTGCACTTTAAATTTTAAATCCTTTAGGATACTCATTTCAACACTACGATTCGGGACACACAGTATATATGAATTGAATACTATTTAGTACAGATAGTATTTTGCTTTGGAATAACGTGCAACACTGAATTGCGCACAATAAGACCAGGAACTTTAAAAGGATTCATGCTGACTGAGTTGAAGGTCAAGTATAGCTATCTGATTAAATAATTTGAGTGATAATTGATCAGTATAAATACAAACCGATATGGTTTTAGAAAATTTCAGTAGCTGTTTCTCGATAAGCACTCTGATTAGCTCTTAGATGACGTCGGTCTTCTCTTTAATTAACCCGTGGGTCTGTCAGTAATTGGGGAGATGCTCTTTGTGTGTTTGTGTGAGTTATATTCCGCGTGCTCTTCACCTCCTCTGCCTGTCGGCTAATTGGTCATTATAATGTGCTGGCTGACTGGTTTCATTCTTATCCTGATTAGCCCTCCACTAAACATGAGCAGTTATACAGTACGTTCTCAAACCATACTTGGTTATTTGAGAATCTGCTCTCATATAATGATGTCGGTTAGTCCATATCTTCACCCTTCAATGATCGAAACACTCGTGATCAGTGAGTTTCATTAGTGAGAACAATTCGAGAACCCCTTGGATTTGTTTTTAAAATACCTTAAGCTTAGTGTGATCATTTGTTTTTATGGCAGCAATCAAATGGCATGGCATTGCAGCAGTGTGCCGCGAGCATGAAAGTGGATGAATTATTCAGTTTGAATGATATCTGATCTTAAAGGTTCTGTCAGTTGCTGAAAGGGAAGAGAGAATAGAGGGCAAAGTCTGGCACAATGTGATTTACCCAAATAGGACATGTTCCTGGATCCAACAGCCTTTCTTGGTCTTGCATGGAACAATGTTCCTGTCAAACAACCATATCCCTAATGGTACATTTCATGCAAACTCGTATGTGGGATGCTCTGCTCTGAATATATAGATTTAGTTGTCTGTTCTATTGTCTGATGCTTGCGATTAGAATAAAAAAGATGGTTTACCGTATTTGTTTTTGAATGAAATCATTATGTTTGATGAATCTGAACATAGTGTTTATGAATGCTAAATAAAATGATCGTGTTGATGTGCGTGTTTATATGTCACAAGCTTCAAATTGGAAATGGATCTTCTGACATGCGCACACTTTTCTTTATTTTAAAAAGCAGACTTAATATTTATCCATTTCGGGTCCTAACTAGAGACGACGAGCACATAAAGCTTTGTGCTGTGCTGCTTATATTTATCAAGCCGTGAAAACGTCTACTTGTGATCCAATCGACGCATCTTAAAGGTAGGGTAGGCAATTTTCAGAGAGGCTAGCAATAGCGAGCTAGCTTTAAAGCATAAGATCCCAACCTCTCTTCAGAGCATTTTCAAAGCCACGCCTCCTTCAAAACACAGCAGGGAGCAAATAAAAGCGTCATTAGAGACGGCGTTAAACTACCTCATGTCTCAAAGCACATAACATTACAATAATAATGAACATAAACAACTTAAAGAGCACTGACCTGTTCCACCTGACTGCTGCAGATTAACTTCGCCGTTGATAGTGTTGATATTGAAATGTATAAATTCGAGTCACAAACCACTCCGAGTATAACATCACAGATTTCCAGCAGCATAAGCTCATTGTTTTGGTTCAGGAGGAACTGTAAAAGGCGGCTGCTGTTTTCGGTTGTGGTGCTCGGTGACTGACGTCTGTCTAACTCTGCATAGCATGAAACACACTGATGACGTGTGAAAATACATACGTTGACAGGCAGGCAGGACATCAAATCATTGCATTCGGACCTAATGCAATGATTGGACGAACATTTTATGGCCCTACACCTTCCACAGATGATATGTATACTAGGGGTGTAACGATACACTTATTCGTATTGAACCGTTCAACACTAGGGGTGTAACGATACACCTATTTTCCATTGAACCGTATTAAACCGAACGGTTCGTTGGACCATTTTTCCTGCCGACCAAAATTTCGTTATTTCAAATGTAGGCGCGTCACGCGTGGCAAGCGCGCTCATAATGTAAGAGACGCTGGCGTGACCACAACATTGCCCAACATCAAATGGCAAATGTAATGTAAGCGGAACGAAACCAGTCGTTATTGTGTGGTTGACGGACCGTTTATCAGTTTGGACCAATGCAGCGCGAGCCGATCTTAATCATCAGCACTGTTACTACACACCGAAATCCAGTAAAGAAAAAATTTGAATTCGCCACTGAAGTAATAACATCACTGCGAGATCTAGTGAGAAACATTCACTTTTCTCCGTTATTAACAGATCAAACAGCGCTGACGTGGAAACCAGGAAGAAACATTGTGCCATGAATGAACTATCCAGTGTCCACAGATCAGCAACATTCACCATGGGTTTACTGTAGTAACACTACTAACTGTAACCATGGAAGTTTGGCAGGAATAGTAGGCTATAATGCTTTCAAGTAACATTACGTCGGTTTTATTTTGACATTATGAATACAATGCTGCCCTCAAATGTTAATCTAAACTAAAATAAACCTTTGTTTATAACTACTACAATATTACATTTCATTTTGTCCAAGGAGCTGTTTTATTTTATATGCTCCTAAGAAAAGTCAAGTATAGCTCCATCATTGCTCAAAGTAAAAAAATATCATGCTTTATGATGTTAGTTTTGATAAAAATATAATTAAAAAAATTAAATCAAGGAAATTTCTCTGGCATTTCTTTCTTTTTGATGTATCGAAAAACGTACCGAACCGTGACACAAGTGTATCGTATCGAACCGAACCGTGAATTTTGTGAACCGTTACACCCCTAATATATACACATAAATACATTTAGATTAGACCACTTAACTTTGTGATTGCTATCAGGATGCGAAGAGACTTTCAACCAGCATAACAAAAAATGTTTCTGGATCAAATCACCTACCCTGCCTTTAATACCAGGTGAAAACAGGGCCACAGACAATGCGTTTTGGTCGAGCGAATCACAAATAGACTAAGGGAGACACATTCCCGTTTACAGCTGGTGTTTTAACTTGTCTCTTTTGTCCACTGTCGACTGCTTCTGTCCTGATTACTTCGAGGGGAGGGACTATGGGCGGGTCCCTCTGTTTTCGTCAAAACACCAGCGGGAGGGTTAAATGTTTATGTGCACTAACATTACGTCAGAGTTCTGCTGCTTGTGTTGTTAGAAAACATAATGTTACGGGGCGAGTCGACAAGTTTTCTTCGGACTGCATCTTCCGCCCACACCGAGATGAGGCACCTGGTGCACGTGCCTGATGAAGACCTGATCGGGCTAAACGTTGCACTGTTCATACATAAATATATAGTAGGGAGCTGTAACTTCAGACTGCAGCCATTATATTTTCTTTTTTTCATAAAATACATTTCCCATCATCCTCTATAGCAGCACATGAGTGCTAAAATCCATAAGACACTGATTAGAGAGAAAGTGAATTATGAAACTGTCAAGAGAATCAATTTTATTCCAACTCTAATCTCTTAAACAAGGACCACGATCTCATAAATAGGAACTTCCCAGGAGACCCTGTAAGCAATATGCTGATCCAGTTGGGTAAATCACATTAAGCGCACAGTCTGAAGATAGAGCTCTGCTCACAGAAAGATAAAAAAAATAATAAAAAAATTCATTTTCAATCAGTCGCTTGACCTGACGGCTGACTGAATTGACTGACTGACCCGTCCATCCATTGTGTCAGACAGACAACCTTGTAGTTTCTAATTGTGTCTTTACACCACGTTTACTCTTCACTTACTTGTCTGGGGCCGTTGGGATATGATGGCTGCCCTCAGGACCGGAAGCGCAGCTACAAAGCAGTGAAGTCATGTGAGGAAGGGGTGACATCTGGAGAGGCCCTCGCGGCCTTGGCTCAGAACTCAACATACATGCACAATGTGCTCGGGCCTGCCTGCATCTTCCTCCGCAAGGGCTTCGCTGAGAGCCGGAAGGCTGTACGTAAGTCTGGACATGCACATCTACACACATATGATAATGCAAAACAACTTCTCACTTATTTTCTTACATTTCAGAATTCAGAAAACACACTATATGCATTGAATATTATATAAGGGATTAAGTACAGTCATCATCACTAAATAAAGTTGTTTTCTGCCAAATTGACTGGCTGACTTTACGCTATCAAAATAATACTTGTCAAATATTATTTTAAAGCTCCAGTCCGTAACTTGAAAATTCTTATGTTGGTCATACTTCCAAAAAGTAGAATCTGTGATTGCGAATAACTGCAATTGCAGATTTCGAACTGAGATGGCGACAAAGAGGAAAACCTACGGACTGCAGCTTTAAATATACACATTGACAAAGTTTGTACAGTTTAGTAGGAATTACCAGAATCAAGCATTCCAGAGATCATGCAATACATTTAAAAAAAAAATCGGAAATTTAATCTGTACTCCGAAATAGTATCCATAAAAATGGTAATCTCTAGTCAAAATACAGAGATCATCTGTAAATGGGTATTTGACATCCCTTTTTCTGTGATGTTACATGCTATATTAGCTAGTTTAAACAGCATTTCGCCAGTTAATGTGTAATTATTTATGTAAACAGCTTTTATGAGCTCACTGAGAGATTATTTGTAGTTAAAGTGGACTAATGAAGGCAAAAGGATGGGGGAAAGCACATTATAAATGCAATATAAGTGCTTCCCCTCTGTTGAATCTTTAGCGATACAGCAAAATAAATCATCTTTTACCCGAGTTGTGAATGTAAGTATGTATTGAATATGATACAATATTACATAGCCTAGTATTGAATATTATGACTGTGTACCGCCGAATAATGGCAAGAATTGCCTCTATGAACATTGCAGTCTGATTCACACATGAATGACTCTTATGTTCTTTGAGTCAGAAACAGACAGCGCAACCAATGTAGTGTAATTGCCGAATGAATGTCTCTTATGAGACGGTTCTTTTAATGAATCAAAAATATATAGAGCGACCAATCTGATTTCCAAACTAGTGACTCTTATGAGCCGGTTCTTTTGAATCAAAAACATATAGCACAACCAAATTAGTCTGATTCCTGAAAGAGTGAATAGGAGCTGGTTCTGAATTGACTAAAACAGTGCTACCAGTGTCTGATTTCTGAACAAATGATTCTTATGAGCCGGTTCTTTTAATGAATAGCCTAGTTCAAGAAATGAGTTACTGGTTTGAATCAATCTGACAGTTCCTTCACTGAACTGAACCCATTTGAGTGGTTAATGTCTCTATATATGTATAAATTCACACACACACACACACACGTTCTGAACAATATTAATATATAGTTTTTGAATATATACATGTGCAAAATATGGTAAGCACTGCTACCATTTTGAGGTACACAAGGCTGTTTCTTTTTTCAAATGAAGACATTTTGCAGACAGTCATAAAGAAGCAGTGCTGCGTGTGTGTTTATGTATGAATCGCAGAGATCTGCGTTTATTGGCCTCTGCAGGGGTCTTGGGTCACGTGATTGAGTTCCTCTGCTGGAGCTCAGAGACTGTTTGGAGGTGAGCCCTGTGTGTGCTTGTGTTCGAGCTGAGATATGTGGAACAGGGAATGCTGGGATCAAATAAAAACTAACTGCTTAAAGCTGATTATGAGAGATCAATCCTGAGTTTATATGTGCTGTTCCAGATCACTTAATCCAAATGGGAAGATCGAATTAAAAAAATCTGACGTAAATTCCGTTAGAGACGGGGGGACGCCATGAAAAGGTTGGGTGTATTAGTTTACATGTGCCATTGCTGTAATGAGTTGTTGCTTCTCTCTAGCAGGAAATGGTGCATTGAATTAAATGGATTCTTCACAGTGGGAGAAGGATGCAGCTGATGTCATCAATGGAACAAAAGTGCACACATTTGTGTGGATTGTTGTTGATTACTTTGTTTATTTTGTTGCAGAACAGAGAGCTGAGACCAGAGGAAATGGATGGTAAGTTCTAGCTCATTGTTAATACTTAGAAATGTTTCTTGAACACAGCAAATTACAATGATTTCTGCAGGATCATGTGACACTGAAGACTGGAGTAATGATGCTGAAAATTCAGCTTTGATCACAGGAATAAATTGTGTGTGTGTGTGTGTGTGTGTACTTTCTTTTTACACTAGTAACTCTGACATGCAAATCTAGTTTTTGAGTATTCAACATTCCAACCTTTAATTCCATAAGCATCTTTCATAAAGCCTTTTAATAAGACAAAGATTATCTCACCCTCTGTTCCCTGCAAATGCATTATAAATAGAAGCGTTTAGTAAACATGCAGTTATTAGGTTGATTGTTTGATATTAAACTAAACAGAGTGTTTTGAACATGTAATTCTGGCATTCCAATGTGTGAAAATTCCCGCTATTGAAATTTCGCAGCATACAATGTGTCAATCGTTCCATTTTAATTTGAAGAGCTTTTATTTCTTTTCGAGTCGAGAGGGTTTGCAAAGAAGTATTTAGTTACAAGTGTTTTGGTCATTCATAGATACATTGTTGTGCTTTGTAAGTGCTTTGTAATTGTCTTCAAAATTGTTTTGCATGAGGGAAGTGTAATTGTACATTAAAATATTCTCTTTTCATCATTTTCGACTCCCTCTCAACTGTCCTTTTTTTTCACCTGACCTGCTTTCTATCTTCACAGAGCTACGAGAAGCCTTCAAAGAGTTTGATAAAGACAAAGACGGCTTCATTGGCTGCAAAGACCTGGGGAACTGCATGAGAACCATGGGATACATGCCCACTGAGATGGAGCTCATCGAACTGAGCCAGCAGATCAACATGAACCGTAAGTTTTCTTTAACTAAATGGCTCTATTTGATGCTGCCTACTGTACATAGGAAGCTCACTAAGTTCTGTGTCCTCTGTCTTATAGTGGGGGGACATGTGGATTTTGAAGACTTTGTGGAGTTGATGGGCCCCAAACTTCTGGCTGAGACGGCAGATATGATCGGAGTAAAGGAATTGAGAGACGCTTTCAAAGAGGTGAGTGAGGGATAGAGCTAAATGATTTGGAGAAATAATCTTTCTTATAAAAATGGCGATGGCGATTTAAAAAAACATTCCAGCTTTGCTGTGCTTGTTTGTAGGGCTGCACGATTTGACCAGAATTTTAAAATGATATATCAGTATGGCTATAAAATAATAATAATTATTATTATTATTATTAATTATCTAAAAAATATAAAACATACTAAATAAAAATGAAATAAGAAATATTACTAATATAATATTTCACTGCACATAAAATGGAGTTTTTAAGAAAAATATGATAATAATTATTTTATTTTACATTACAACTGTAAAAATCAAATTGCTGTTTTTCTGAAAATATTCCAGCTTTGCTTGTTTGTAGGGCTGATCAACTGACCAACATTTTGTGATTTTATATCAATATGTCTATAAAATAATAATAATGAATATTATTATGGTTGTTGTTGTAGTTGTTATTATTTTATAGCAATTATAAAACAACAATAATAAATTATGATTATTTTTATATAAAATAAAATTTACTATTACTATATTTGTTACTATATCATATTTTTTACTATATAATTTACAATTACTATTGTAATATTTCACTATACAATAAAAAAAAATATTTTAGAAGTATATAAGAAAAATATGATAATACAATTTTTTTTTTACATTACATCTGTAAAAATCAAATTGCGATTTTTCTGATAAAAATTGCTATTGTGATTTAAAATGCAATTTTAAAAACATCCCAGGTTTGCTGTGCAACACAATTTGGCCAGCATTTTGTGTATATATCTGTATGGCTAATGATAATAATTAATATTAATATATAATAATAAATATAAAAAATACTAAAAAACAAAATATTTCCTATTGTAATATTTCACTACAATACTATTATTTTCATTTTCAAATGTTAAACCATCAGTCTTTTATTTTGATGGAAAACTGCAGGGAAACACATTGAACGCCAGCGGATAATGAGCTGCTCACGTGTAAGAACAGTGTCGCGCCTCAAACTGAAACATGTGGCACACACTATATATATATTTCATTAAATCGCAGCCTTTGTGATTTGATAATCGCACTAAGCCATGCGATGATTTGGGTTTTATTTCAATGAATAGTGCAGCCATAAGGTGAAGGCGCCACACAACATGAAAATTAACAACAAGGGGTAAATGAAGAACTAACATTAGCAAATAACAAACAACATGTACCGTTTCTGTGTAGACTTCCTGCTTTCTTCGTAAAACACAGTAAAATTGCCATTGAGAGCAGGATCATTTGGATCCAGACATGTTAAGAGAACACTCTTGTTTTGTTCTCCTTCTCTCAGTTTGACACCAACGGAGACGGTCAGATCAGTACAGCAGAACTCAGAGAGGCCATGAAGAAACTGCTGGGCCAGCAGGTGCTGTTATTTACTGTGCTGAACCATCTGAAAGCTTTTAGCTCTCCGCCAATCCTCTCATCCAATTTCATCATTTTATTGATCCTCTTTCCTTCAGGTGGGTCACAGAGATCTGGAGGACATTCTGCGGGACATCGATTTAAACGGAGACGGGCACGTGGACTTTGAAGGTGAGCCACCTTGTGTTGATTTTGCGCTGCTAATTAGTAATGCTAATTTCACTGCTGCAGTTTCTATATTGCTGCGCAATAGCTCGATTGAATCAGTTTACGCGGCCTGGGAGAAAAATGATCTGTCCACAATAACCCCAAAAATCTTAGATTCACATTCCCTCTGTGTTTCTGCAGTAAAATGTAATTATAATAAATCATAATCCCAAATTGAATTATATGTTTGTTCTCTTTTTGTTTTAAAAATTATTAAAGTAGCAAGCAATCAGCAGATTTCCCTTGTGCTTTTAGAATAAAAAATACAGAGATACTCTTACGTTCACAGCCCAAACTTCAGTCTAACCAGACCATGGTTCATTCAGAGGGAAGATTGAAGAAACCTGGACTAACATAAGTGGACTTCAGGGAAAGATGCAAGGCAAAATATAGAATATGAAAAAAAAGGACTGAGAGAAATGATCCCTATTTTTGGATCTATTATTATTTCTATTGGTGCCTGTTGCTGTGAGCCGCTGTCACACAGTTTAGCGGCTAGTGAATCTCATCATGGTGAAGGCGGTAAAGTGACAGTAGTAGAGCTGTCAACCAGATTATCTCTTAACCACGGGATTATTTCACCTCGCAAAAAGAGCATGAAAACGGGAAGGACAAAAATAGCTTGCGCTGTTACTCCTGTTGATGTCTGGAGGTGTGACAGTTCAACGTCCTCTTGCTGTATTTTGAGCTCAGGCTGAATTTGACTCATCCGAGGTCAATAGTACATTTCATTTTTTTCAAAGGAAATTTGTAAAGCAAGAATTTATAGAGCAGTGGTTCCCAAATGATGGGTTACGACTCAAAACTGGGTCACAGACAGCAAGGGAAAACAATGCCAAATGTAAAAATAACACAAGGCGACTGATAATAATAATAATAATAATGCACAGTTTAGACAAAATTCAAGTCAAGTCACCTTTATTTATATAGCGCTTTTTACAATACAGATTGTATCAAAGTGCTTCACAGTGATAACATGAAAACAATATAACAAAGTTTGTTTCTAAAAGAAAATTGCGTCAGCGTCCACCTTAAGTAAGGCAGATCAATAACATTATTGAATATTAAATGTCCCCAACTAAGCAAGCAAAAAGCCAAGGCAACAGTGGCAAGGAACTAAAACTCCATCAGGGGACAGAATGGAGAAAAAAACCTTGGGAGAACCCAGACTCAGTCGGAGGGCCAGTTCTCCTCTGGCCAACGAAGGAACAGTGCATGATTCGGGCAGCATTACAAGTCAGATTGGATCGGAACATTTAGAGTATTTATCCATTTCCATCTTTTGGAAGTCCAAGTAATCACGCCGGTATTAAGACGAGTTGTTGAGGATCAGTGCCGTCCACCATAGAGAGTCCATATCGCCCGTGTTGAGTCGTCACTTCACAGGCTTTGTGATTGGAGCATCTGAAGTCTCCGTGAGAGGCTGGATACAAACTGGAGCTGAAGAACGCCATTTTCTCGGGACTCGCGTCCCGAGATAACAGCAGAAAAGCGAAAAGGGAAAATAATTAGCGTAGCTGCTGTTCATAATGATGATTTCCATAACACAGGCGTAAATGATAAAACATGAAGACAGTGACTCTTGCGTCCCAAAATCACCCCCCTCCGTCCCCCACTCAACTCAGCCCAGCTTACTGACCTCTACGTCCCTCCTGCTGCTGAGACCTAACCACAATCTCACAATCTCTCCACAACCCAACCATACGCGCCAACCCGTTTGACTAAGGCTGTCGAGCCCCACTGGTGCGTTAACATGCAGTTTCAGTGGACAACGGTTCCGTATGGTATACCACCTACCGCAACACAATATCTGCCCAACCACCCGTCATTCACGCAATATATACAGAAACGTAATGACTGTAAATACTATGCAACCTATACAAATAACCTACAGTCTCTTCAAGTTTTATAGTATTAAATGCATTTGATCTGATTCAGCAGTGGTAAAAAGGTAAGCATTATGTAAATGCTTGGCTAAAGAGATGCGTCTTTAATCTAGTTTTAAACTGGGACAGCGAGTCAGAGCCTCGAACTCAGAGCTAAGTGTGAGAACGCCCTCCCTCCTTTAGTGGACTTAGATATCCTAGGAATGACCAGAAGCCTCGAATTTAGTGATCTTAAAGAACGCGATGGATTGTAGGGCGATAGAAGGTCCATTAAATACACAGGAGCTAAACCATTTAGGGCTTTATAGGTCAGTAATAGTACTTTATAATTGAAACGGAACTTGATAGGTAACCAGTGTAGAGATGATAAAATTGGTGTTATATGATCATATTTTCTTGACCTAGTAAGAACTCTAGCGGCTGCATTTTGCACTAACTCTAGCTTGTTTATTGAGGATGCAGGACAACCGGCTAATAAAGCATTACAGTAATCTAGTCTCGAGGTCATGAATGCATGAACTAACTTTTCTGCATCAGAAACAGATAGCATGTTACGTAATTTAGCAATGTTTCTAAGGTGGAAAAAGGCTGTTCTTGTAACATATGAAATATGATTTTTGAAAGACAAGTTGCGGTCTAGTATAACTCCCAGGTCTTTTACCGTAGAGGATAAAGTAACAGGACATCCTTCTATATTAAAGTTGTATTGTAAGTGGTTTTGTGGGTAGTTTTTTGGACCAACAAGTAATACCTCCGTTTTATCTGGATTTAGTAGCAGGAAATTACGCGAAATTACAAAATAAATAGGCATTTCAAGTTTAAAGGGGGAGAAAAATTGTTACAATTAGCAAATTAAACTTGAACTATAAAATAAAGAAAAATGAACTATATTTTCTATTTTATTATATTTATGGATATTTGTGTGTGTGTGTGTGTGTGTGTGTGTGTGTGTGTGTGTGTGTGTGTGTGTGTGTGTGTGTGTGTGTGTGTGTGTGTGTGTGTGTGTGTGTGTGTGTGTGTGTGTGTGTGTTTTATGATATAAGAGGACACAAATTTGCTTAATTTAAAACGGTAATTAAAATGACATAAAAACATACTAAACAATGTTTTATAAAAAAACACTGAAAGTTTTCTGTGATGGGTAGGGGGATAGAAGATACAGTTTGTACAGTATAAAAATCATTATGTTTATGGAAAGTCCCCATAAAACATGAAAACACAACATGATTGTGTGTGTATGTGTGTGCGCACGTGTGTGTATGTGTGTGTATACACAGTAAATAGGACTTGTTGTTAATTGAGTATTTCAGTGTTAAATTAAACCAATTTCTGGTCTTTCTTCTTTCAGAATTTGTGCGAATGATGTCTCGCTAGAGGAAAGGTGGACAAACCACATCAAAAACTGGATCTCCTGTGCTCTGACATTGGAAGATGAGGATGGAGGAGATGAAGAGGAGAGGAAAGATTAGGAGGAAATGGGAGCAGCCTCACAAGAGGAACTTCTGGAATATGACCTCTGACCTCAAAGCACAAACGAAAGAACTGCACTATAACCCTCCATGACAGCTTTTATGAAGCACAGAAGCCAACAGTGGCAATGAGAGGATGCCTCGCTCATACTGTGATCTCTGATATATATTTGTGAAACGGGTTTTAAACCCCATAAAAAGCCTGCGAGGTGTCTGATGCAAAAAACGCCCCGAGAGCAACCTTTCAAAAAAAGCGAGTGATCAAATTGCTGAGTTAATAAGCATCAAAATATCCAGTATACTTTCATTTACTGGCATCTCACACCTACTTTGTGACAGTAGGGTGCAATAACATTGCTGTTTCATATTTAAGCTATTTATTAATATTTGTAAAGTATATAGAGATGAGTGTGTATAGTTCCCCTTTAAAAGACTCTGGCTGTTTTACAGTAGCCTATGATATATTAGATTATCACAAAGATTTTATTTTATATATCAATGTACTGGGAAATGCTGGAAATCTTTGCTATCAATCATTTGCTATTTATTGTACAATACATTGGACCTATGCACTACTGTATGTGTGGACATATTTTTGAAAAAGTTGAGAAAGATTTGCCATAAAGAAAACATTAAACTGCCCTTTTTTGCACATTGTCTTGCATGAATGCTAGTGCTGATGCAATTGTGAGTCAACACAGCAGAGTAGCCTACTGTAAGCATACGTTGTGTAGTTTTGTCCTGTATTTAAATGTTGTGAGTTTTGTTAACAGTCAGATGAGCGTCTTTGATCTTAATTCACTCTTTGAGAATGAGTGTGTGTGTGTGTGTGTGTGTGTGTGTGTGTGTGTGTGTGTGTGTGTGTGTGTGTGTGTGTGTGTGTGTGTGTGTGTGTGTGTGTGTGTGTGTGTGTGTGTGTGTGTGTGTGTGTGTGTGTGTGTGTGTGTGTGTGTGTGTGTGTGTGTGTGTGTGTGTGTGTGTGTGTGTGAGAGACAGAGAGAGTGGATTGGATTTCTTGTATCTTATTTGTGTGATTTCAAGTTTGTCTTGAGTTATTCTATGCATGCCAAAACAACTTTTTGTAGAGTGTAGATTTCATTAAAGAGTTGTGCAATCAAAGAGTTCGTTTTACCTTGTATTCTTCAAACACCAAGACCAAACAATGAAAATAATAAAGCAATTGAATTACTGACCCAGATTTAAGGTCGCAAACAGACACATTTTATATCAAAGGATAAGTCAAATGTACTCAGTGCAATACATTTTTTGTTGTTATAATATATTTTATTCCAAATGGAATCAAATAGTTTCTGTTACCTGCATGATGACGCATAGAGTTCCAGCTCCAGCATCTGGCTAGAGGTGGTTCTGCAGTATGATGGTATCGCCAACATTAATTTATGAATGTCAATTTCACAATCACAATGCTCTCTGTAATAGGAATGACACAAACCATTTTTAGAAGGCCAGACTGGAACATAAGAACCACTGAATTTACTCTGTATGGAACAATTTAACGTATAAACATTTGAAATGAATTGGAACTGGTTAACTTAAAAAAAAAAAAAAAAATCAACAGTGGGGAATTCATGAACATTTCCACCGCATTATTTCCATAACATCACATGCACTTACATTTTAAACAATTTTATGACAAAATGGCCAACTTATTTGTTTAAGGCTATTCAAATTTGGATTTTTTATTGCATTCTAAATACATCCGATTCAATAAGATTTTCACACTTATTGCACAGTTTGACACATTAAAGCTAGATCGGAAGTGACGCACAGATATATTTACCTTTTTAATTTTATTTCTTGTCTTTATCACAGGCGTCTCATTTCATCTCAGGAATGCTCTTTACTGACTCTGTTGTCTCCTAGGCAGTAACCAGGTACGCTAATTGGGGCATTTTTTTTAGTTTTGGTGGAAATGACATCACTAATAGAACCGTTTTATTTCATTAAAAAAAAATCTAAATACATACGATACATACAAATCTAAATAAATAAATAAATATTATCGTTTTTCAATAGTTTTTGATGGATTAATGGATTGGATTTTCAGAGTTTGAACGGTCTTGAACGGTCTGGGCAAGAGTAAATCAATCAAATCTACATAAAATGCATTTTAAAAGTTTCAAATGAAAAGTATGGTAAGTTTACAAGACAATTTCAGTGTGATTTTTGTATAGCCTAACAAAATGGAAAATGGACTTAGTTTAAAAAATAGCCTAAATATTTGTAACAAAATATAATTAATTAATAATAATGCAGACGCCGCTGGTCTAGAATCAGCTATCCCCGCAACTATTTATTCCCGAAACACGAGTGCACCATAGACTGTAAAAGAACAACTGCTCGGAGATCAGTGGTAGGAGGGGCAAACATCCTCAGCCAATGTCGAAGCAGCCGAGCCCACCGGAAGCGGAAGTTGTGGATGCTGCTGATCGAGCAACGCGCGCCGCTACTGATGCTCTTAAACTTGTTGCATAACAACAACAACAGCAGCGTCTCACGTTGCTAAAATATCAAATCAGTATTTTATTGAGAGGACAAATCTGCATTTAAACGCCATCTTCAGGGAACAGGTCAGTATAAACAGCGGGTTTCATACATTTTAAGACGTTTGGGAGTTTAATTAGCCTACGTGATTAAAAGAGAAGCTGTTGATAAGCGCTTTAGCATCCAGTCATTTACAGCTGCATTCAAACAATGTTTCATACAACTGCAGTTTTAACCCATTTATGGTTCATTTAAGATCTAATTAACATTTATTTCAGATGTTAAGATGAAGATTATGCTTTATAGATATTTAGCTTTTAGAGTGATGTTGAATTGTCCGTTACAATCCGTTAAATAAGCTACTGATTATAACTAAAACTTAGTTGTTTAATAGTGTTCATCAATACATTTCATTACTCCGAATCTAATTCTGCTTTAGATGATTAATCATAAAGGGGGTAAAGCCATGTATCATTTTATTTATTAAATAATGCCAAAATATTTGATGTGGACAATTGTGCATGGAAGCATATGGGTACCAATATTCAATTTGAAATGTAATATGCAAAATGACAATACAATATGTAAAATGGCAATGCATTTCTGTATTTAATTGTACTTTTTCCATTACATTTGTGCAACGTTGGTGGAAAATGAAAAAATCAATTAATTTACATTTGCCATTTCATACACTAGTTTTAATATGTAAATTGAAAACATATTTTAACGCTTTATAAGTTGCTAAATTAAAATGTATTACAGAAATGATTTTATATGTTTAACATGTTCAAGCAAAAACTGTCCCATTTCCCATTTCTATTTTATTAAGCATATTGATCAGATATTGATAAATCTATAGGTACAGTAGGGTCACGGAATCTGACGGGTCAAATTCATACTGAAAAATGTGACCGCTCTTTATTTCACCACAACTGAATGTAATGTTCAATAAAGTTTCTCATTTGATGTGTAACCATTTACCCTTTCTATTTTATAAAGCAGCATATTGATCAGATATTGATCAGAGGGGGGAGGGGGGGCTGGTTACATCACCTGTAATTAAAGGCACAATATCTAAGATTTTTTCGCCACAAGAGGGCGCAGTTTCCAACGATAACAAAGGCGTAGGTTGATGACGCAGTGATGAGCTGAATGATGGGACTTGCTGTCAAGCTGATGGATCTAATAATGTTTATGGATGAGTGCAAACAGTCATCTTTTTTAACATTACAGCAGTATGAAGCAGTTCGCGATTGCTAAAGAGACAGATATCACACGTGAGTCCCGCGGATATAAAGGAATAAGGACATTTAATTCTACCGAACTACCCGCAAGTGCTGGATTACTCACACAGGTCAGTTTATTAGACGAATTAAACTTGTGAGGTAACGCAGCGCTGCTTCACTTGGTCTAACGTTACACTATCACACTAAACTGCATTTAAATGTGTGTTGAAAGTTATAATGTTATACTACGTGTTAGTTCGTTTGCTATACGAAACTAGCAGTAAGCTAGATCAACATTAGAATAACATACTGACCATATTCTAACATTTCATCATGTTGAGCTAACGTTATATAACATTGATTTGTTTTATGTACATCTGCTCACCTGTCTAATAAAGCTGTCAATTCGTGACTCGTGAAGCTCTGTCAAGTCCAAGCTAGTCGCGGACGGAGCTCTCGGCATCTCAAAACGCCGCGCTGATAATGATCCTCATCTTAGTTCTCCTTGTTTGTCCCAAAGTCTGCTTGCCATGGTCTATGTTTGAAAGAAACAAGAACTGCAGGCCGCTAAACGTTACGCACTACGCAGTTGTTCACGTCTGTCGCCATGGTTACATCATGGCTATGGCAGTATGGACGGAAACAGAGGATAGCGCGGATATTGCGTCATTGACAGGCGACATTTTTTTCCGGGACGGCCACTTATTTAAAATAGGAATTTCTCTGAAATAAAAAATCTTTGGAGACTTTTGGGATATTGTAAGTACACACCTGCAGGAAATATATCACACTGTGCAAGTGATTTTTGGATATTTTATTACAAAATTCTTACATATTGTACCTTTTAAATGTCTAATATCTTAAAAACCGAAGCAGCACAAACAAAACTTTACCCGGCACAAACGAACGAGACTATTTTATTTGGAGCTTGAGGGGGGCTGGGTGACTTCAGAATGACCTATAAAGACTCTTTTAATATCTAAAAAACCGAAGCAGCACAAACAAATAAATTTACAGCACAAACTAAGTAAAAACGATTGAGCCTATTTTCCCGACGTTTTGCATTGGGTGGGGGCGTGACCAATTTCATGCAGTGATTGACAGGGTGTGAGGGGGCGGGGCCAACTTCACACAGTGATTGACTGACGTGATCGGCTTGAAATGCATTTTCAATTTGCAAATTGAATTTTGCTACATTCATTGCAGGACATTTAAATGCAATCCCAAGTGTCTTAACTGAGTGTAAATGCAATTAAGAAAAATAACATTTAAATGATAATTTTGCTACAGTTTTTGCTTGAACATGTTAAACATACATATCTAATCATTTCTGTAATACATTTTAATTCAATTTACATATTAAAACTAGTGTATGAAATGGCAAATGTAAATTATATAATTTAATTATCATTTTCATTTTGCTCCAACGTTGCACAAATGTAATGAAAAATGTACATTTAAATACAGAAATGCATTGCCATTTTACATATTGCATTGTCATTTTGTATATTACATTTCAAATTGAATATTGCTACCCATATGCTTCCATAGTAGTGATGTGGAACTCTTCAAAAACATTTTTCCCTCTTTTTTTTCCCCCTAGATATGTCAGAAACAAAATATTTTAATGTGGACAGGTGATTATGAGCTTATTTGAACCCTTCAAAAACATTTTTTTTTCCTTCTTTTTTTCTAGATATGTCAGAAAAATGTCAGTGGACGGTGATGTGAGACGATTTCAAATAGGCCTAGGTCATTGATGAAGAAATATTCATTCCAAGAGACTGTGAAAGTAGCAAAGATTGAACATTTATGCACATTTATTTATATTTCCAACACTCCTGTCTCATTCAGGGTTTTCTTAACCCTGATGTGTCCCGCAGACATGTCTGTAGCATCGTAAGGTGTTAATTTGATGGATATGGAATTATGGATATAAAATGATAATTTTCCCCTACATGCCCATGAAGGCTGTGTTTCAGCGTAGGCTTCAGAAATTGAGGCACTAGAGGAATCCATCAGTCTAAGTTTAGGTAATCTCGTCACTTTTAAATCGTTCCTTCCCTGCGTCTTGGTCAAGATGGAGTCCTACCTCTTCCCCTTCGACAGCCTGATCTGTATGCTTCTGGGCATTTCCTTCACGGTGTGGTTAACCCTTCTGCTGGTGTTCATCATCGTACCCGCAATCCTCGGCGTGTCTTTCGGGATCCGCAGACTGTATATGAAGTCACTGATCAAGCTTTTCGAGGTGAGTGAGACCATTTACAATGATTATCTCATGATTAAATTTCTGAACAAGAATATCAGAGGAGCTGTGGAAAGTTAAACAAGGTGAGATGGTCTGTGGTGTAAACGTCTCATAATATAAGTTGGAAGGTCATTCATGGAGTCTTTTGCTCTGTGTTTTACTACTTAGTTCAGTAGTCAGCACTCTCTCCCTTCACTAAAGATGCCAGAGGCTAAAAATAGAACACGCATTCACGTTTGACTGAATTAGTAAGCCTGGAGGGTCTGGCTGTCATTTGACTTTGCCTCAGACTTTAACCTGTGCTGTCACATATTCTTCCATGCGTTGTTGATCCCCGGAAAGTACCCGACTACTCGTTTTAGAAAGTGTTTTTTTTTTTAACCACATGAGTGAAAGAATTTGTTTTGCTTCAGATCATCAGCATGTAACTCTTTGCTTGAATTTATGTGAAAATATAAGCCTAAAAAACATAAAAAGTCATTAATTGTGAATCCCACATTGATGGGTCAGGTACATTACCATTCAAAAGTTTGGGGTCAGGATGATTTTTTTTTTTTTTTTGAAAGAAAGAAATACTTTTATGAAGCAAGAATGCATTAAATTGGCCATTTAAGTGACAAAGACATTTATATGTATTCATCAATTTAGCATAATAATAAGAAATGTTAAATAATAAGGATTATTAGAATGATTTCTGAAGGATCATGTGACACTGAATACTGGACTAATGGCTTCTGAAATTTCAGCTGCTTCATCATAGGAATAAATTATTGAATATATTAAAATAGAAAGGTTATTTTAATAATATTTCACAATATTACACTGTTTTTTGATCAAATAAATGCAGCCTTGGTAAGTATAAGATTTTCACAAATATTAAAATGACCTCAAACTTTTGATAATAGTAACTTGTGTTGAATTTCTTTGAATTTTGAATTCACAGGTAGGTTCTGATGCTTTTGCATCAATATGCATTCATTTATGAATTCATTTAAATAATTCTGGAAATACTTTATTTTAAGGTGACGTTACACGATACTCTAGTAATAAAAATTATGCATAATTACATGTAACCCTAAACCAAACCGTAAGTACATTTAGTTAATTAATATTACTCAGTACTTATTTGAGTTATTACAATGTAACTGTCACCTTAAAATAAAGTGTAACTGTAATTCTTTATTGTAATACTGCACATTTTGGCAATTTAGTAGATCACCTGTGTGTTATGTGCACACAGATTGAATTGACATGCTGTTCATAGTATGCACACCGTATCCTGTAGAACAGTTAGTATGTTAGTCCCAAGTCCTATTGCATGTTTCCATTCAGGAATGGAGAAACAATGGCCTGTCCTCTGCTTGGGTTTCTCTTTTTGGAACTGACAGCAAGCATCAAAGATATCACATACTTTGGATAACATGAAGCAAATCATTAGGTCTAATGCACGATTTAATGCAAAAGATTTGCTCCCCTACACTGTAATTAAAAAAATTGAGATGCATCAAGAATCACATTCTTGACTCTGTCAATTAAAACCAAATCATGAGGTGCCTAAATATTCCTAATTGTTGCAACAATTTGTTTGCTTAATGCGTGTCAGTAGAACTGTGTGTGACCCAGTAGCGTAGGCAGAAATTTTATTTTGGGTGGGCCAGTGAAAATGTGAGTGGGCCTATAGATTTTCATAGAAAAAAATGACTTCAGTAATAATTAACCTTAGAGAGTAGAAAAATGAATCGACAAACTGCAAAAACAGTTACAGCTTTATATTCGGCAAATCATCATGTTCAACCAACAGAGCTTAATAAAGGCTGGACAAACCAGTGTAGACATTAGACAATAACCTGTCTATTTTATTCAGGCTAGTCAGCAATGCAAAGACAGTTCACCCGAAAATAAAGTAAGCTAAAATAATAATATCGCTATTAGATCGGCGGGTAAACCCGAGTCGGGCTGACCGGGAGAGAGGGAGCAAGAAGCAGCCGCCACCAGCACCTGACTAGCCTTCTCCTGGGGTAATGAGTCTGAAAAACTGGGACTCGGTAGTTGAAGGCAGTGGCGTGTCTTCTTCCTCAACTCTTGCTTTTTTCAAATAGCACATTAAAGAAAGTTGTTTAGCCATTAGTGTGGCGCCGACGCCGCTGTGAGTTTTCCTGTCGGAACCCCCAGCAACCATAGCAACCAATAACGTTCAGGAGAGAGGCTTTCTACAACTTGCTTCGACAGTTCCGTTTTATTCGGAAAACGAATTAAACACACACAGCAGTCAACAATAAATCAGGTATATATTAATATATTTTCTTAAATACATTTGAATAAAAATAAACTAAAAATGTATTTTTATCAAACTTGCCTGGGCGGGCCAGTGAGTAATGTGGGCGGGCCAGTGCCGCCCTGGCCCAATACTGGCTACGCCCCTGGTGTGACCTTTCCTATTTCCTACGGTTCCACTCTCTCATCCATCTGGACTGATGTAGTCACTCGTTCAGACCGTCTCCAGACTCCCTAAGAACCTCCAGATGGCTGTTTTTCTGTGACTAACTTCCACTTACTCTTTTGTCCGGTGACCCTGAACAGGGGAGCAAAATTTAGTCTGACAAGCAGCTTGACTGTTCACTCTTTCCCCATCCCGACCTTCGCTTCCACAACTCCCTGAGTCACAGGATCATCAGTGAGACCACGAGAGAGTCACTGTTTACTTTCACACAGCGAAAGGACATCTTTCCACACTCGGTGCTCAGCTGCTGTCCTTGCTTGACTAATCCACTTTAATGATCCCTTAGGGGAAATTCAGATGCAGCAACATCAAATGTTGAGTCCACACCGCGCACACATGTACATGCATGCGCAGGTATACATAAACAAGGCAACATTTTTTTACAGGGATTACGCAAGTGTCTTCAGTTTAATCAAATTTAAGGTTACGGGAAGTAAAAACTAAGGGCCGATTCTCACAGAACGTGTTTTTGCTGTTAAAAATGTGGAATGAATAAAACAATGGAAAAGTGGCGCAGTGGAATGGAAAAACACATTCTGTATTTAGTTCTGTGTGATGTGACAACCCGGTTCTTTTAGCCTGTTCATTTCAATCTGAACTGATTCTTTTAAGTCAAGTGCTCTGGTTTCAAATAGGTTTTATAGATTCCAATATGAGCTTGGTAGATGCTTTGTGAATCATTTTGACTGAATCATCATAAAGAACTGGTTCCACAAAACGATTCATTCTTTTTAAAAAAGCCAGTTGAACTGTCAGTGGATGGTGTATATGGGTTTAGATGAGGTTTTCAGGGGCTTTGGCTGAACTCCAGGTCTCCACAAGGACACATGGATCAGCCGTTGTGTTCTCCTCCCCGGTGGCTGTATCTCTGTGGAATCGGCGCCCCAAAGGCTGTTTATCGCTTGAATGTTGTTTGTTTTCCCAATCCTCATGACAGCTGTATGAGTTTTTTTGGGGTTGCAGACCAGCCCGTCATTGGGGATACATAACAAATGTAACAAAAGGAAGATTAAGTGATCCAATTAAGACTCGTGTCATGTAATTCCATAATGAAACGGATCCACCGTCACGTCCATAACAAGATGAATATTTTTTTTCATCTTTAATTTGGACAAATACCACAGTTTGAAAAATATCACTATTTTGAGGCTTTGTTACTGCGATACTACAATGGACACAGCAGGATACTGTTCTGAACCATTACTGTGTGCAGTTTATTTAATTTGTCTAAATAATTCTCATTCTTCTTTCTTTCAGTGGGCGACCTTAAGAATGGAGCGAGGAGCCAGAGAGAAGAATCAGCATCTCTACAAACCCTACAGCAATGGTGAAACACTAAAAAGATCATTCACATGAGTTCCCACCTACGTCATATTTCCGACATTGTCGTAACCCTGCTCTTTTTTTTTTTTCCCCACAGGGATCATTGCTAAAGAACCAGCGTCCCTCGAACAGGAGATCCAGGAAATGAGGCGTGGCGGTGCAGAGCCTGAGTTTGACATGTCTGACATCTTCAATTTCTGCCGGCGAGGCGTGGAGAGCATCGTCGATGACGAGGTGACCAAGCGCTTCACAGCGGAGGAGCTGGAGTCCTGGAACCTGCTGACCCGCAGCAACTACAACTTCCACCACATCAGCACCAGGCTCACGGCGCTCTGGGGGGTGGGCGTACTCATCCGATATGGGTTTCTACTGCCACTCAGGTGAGAGGGAGATCGATGGATACTGCATGAAGGCTTTGTGGACGGATATGGTTGGTAATCGCCAGAGTAGTGGTTTTCAAATGGGACTATTCAATCAATTAGACGTGATGAACTGGCTCTGAAAAGATTTTGTGTTTCGGTTCCTGCTTGCAGAAATATTAGCAAACTGATGGAGCCTAAGTGAGAAATAGTCGAAGTTCTCTGTGGCCCGATTCCAAACCTTAGAAACAGATGAGACTTTAAGGATTCACCGGTTTTAAACTGTCAGCACTTTTAAGGCATCAGCAGTTTTAAGGCCTTACGGTGCCCAATGCTAAGTGCTCAAGGATAAACGGACACCTTGTATTTTTATTCAAAAGAACTATGCCGAAAAAATGGCTGTTTGTAATCTCCACTAGCCCAGGACGATTACTCTAATGCAGACATAATGTTTGTGGAGTGATTATTTTAAGCTGTGTCCTTCTTAGATCTTCCTTTTAACATTTGCCGTGTTGCTCTTACAGGGTCACGCTTGCTTTTACTGGTGTCGGTCTTCTTGTGGTTCAGTCGTCAATCGTTGGCCTGTTTCCGAATGGAAGGTATGTCTCGGTACACTTCTGAAGGTCTGAGGCTGTTGAGTTGGGTTTAAATACTTGGTCTCAACATCTAATCATTGTATTTGTTTAGACTACATGTAAGGGACAATTTACAGTTACTAAATAAATCCCAACAGTGTTATCAGGATACGGGCAAGGGTTTATTTTGTGATAATGAGTGGCCGACTGTACATAATTCTAAATATTGCACAGCTACTTACTAAAATGTTCTGGCTCACAGAGGCAAAAAAACCCAAAACAACATTAACTACACTGTCAAAATTGAGTTATGACTGAATTTGGGTCTCTTAGACTATGATCTGTCATGTGATGCAGCAGTTTGGCTCACTTTTGCTGTGATTAAATGAAAACTGTAAAAATGTATAATATGCACTACTACCGTTCAAAATTGTGGGATCATTAAAGCTACAATATGTAATTTTTCGCCGCCAGAGGTCGCATTTTCAAAACAATAACAAAGACAAAGCTTGATGACGCTATGAAGGAGAGTGGAACGATGGGAGATGTATAGAATTCACAAATCATATAAATGATATATCGGCTAATATATTAGTTTTTGTATTACCTGTACGTTTGATCACACTATGTTATGTCATCGTAATGAATTGGCTGCCAGGAATGTGAAATGTAATGCTATAATAGCCTGTTACTAATATGTGACTATTTGTCAAATGATTTGGTGGGTTAATGCTGCGCAGTTTTACCCGTTTAAAACAATTGTACTAAAGTACTTTTGAACAAACCCACAGTATTTGCAAGTAATGGCTAAATATTTTTGTGCAACACAAACTTAATTTCACTGCATAGACTTGGTCACCAGACTTGATAAAAAGCGTTACTGAAGTACAAACAAAGTGCAATAAAACTGTATGTGTTGTGTACAATAAATAATATATGCTTAACAGTCTATTAAAACACATGTGAGAGCGGAGACTCTGTGGACAGATCAAGCCCCATTCTGATTTCTCTGTTTTTCCCAAAGCCTGCTTGCCTAATGCTGGGTAAACACCAAAAGATTTTTTACATCTTATAAGATTTTCAAAATGTGATAGACCACAAACATGAGGACAAAAAATCCTAGATTTAAGCGTTTTGCTCCTATAGTGTGTGGTGTGCCATGATGTGACAAAGACAGCACACCACACATGAACAGATTTTCAACCAGAGTCTCGACTGTGAACAAAGGAAATCTCACAAAATCTCGCGAGACTTCAGAATAAGCTTGGCGGACGATATGCAGGAAGAAATTGCGATGATAGTGTTTGGAATGATTTTCACAGAAAAACATTCGTGCTGTTGCCACAAATCAACAAGCTGATCCTCCATCTCTGCTGTCCACATCAATTCAACTTTTTGCAACGCCATGACTGCGTTTGTTATGCTTCCGTCTTCCATCATCTCGCTTTCTGATTGGATATTGTTTTGTTTCACGTGATAATCTCCACAGCGTGCACACGTTTGTCATCGGGGTTCCCCCCACACATCAGGATTTCTGATCGTAAATATTCAACATGTTGAATATTTACGATTCGCGATCGGGGCGGCTTCGACGTTCTTCCAAGCAGGTTCGGACACTCTTAACACACCTCACACCAAGGGAAAATCTGATAAGATAATCTGTAGAACCATCAAGATAATCGGGACATAGCTAGGATTGTCGGAAGGGGGAAAATCGGCCCAAAATCAGCCCGATTCTCTTTTGGTGTGTACCCAGCATAAGTTGATCTATGCTTGTTACGTTTTTTTGGATTTTCTTTACTCGCCAATCAATGATCGTGAACCATGATGACTGAACGACACAACAGCGGTGTGCGAGATATTGTATCATTGATATGCATACATAGATTCCTCATTAGTGGCTTACGTATAGTGGCCCATTGAAACGGCAGCTAATGAGGAATCTATGTATTGTATATATGGTTTCTATAAGCGGAAACCGAGGATAGCGCAGATATTACGTCATTGATAGGCGACTGACCAAGGACAAGCCATTATTAAAAACTAGATTTACAAACCCTTAGGAACTTTTGGTACACAGCGCATGAAATATATCACACTGTGAAAGTGGTTTTTAAATATTTTATTACAAAAATCTTACATATTGCACCTTTAAAATTATTATTTTTTAAATACTTTTATTCAGCAAGGACACATTAAGTTGATCAAAGTGACATTCATAGTGATGCAAATAATTTATTTTTCAAATGCTTTTCTATTTAAAGAATCCTGAAAAACTTTATCACTGTTTCTACCAAAATGTTAGCAGCACAAGTGTTTTCAACTATCATAATAAAAAGAAATGTTTCTTGAGCAGCAAATCAGCATAATAGAATGATTTCTGAAGGATCATGTGACACTGAAGACTGGAGTGATGATGCTGAAAATTCTGCTTTGATCACAGGAATAAATTACATTTTAAAATATATTCAAATAGCAAACAGTTATTTTGGATTGTAAAAATATTTCAAAGTATTACTTGTTTTAATGTATTTTTTTCCCATCATTGGAAAAAATTAGCAGTTTTCTATTGTAATATATTATGAAATGTATATAATTTACTGTATTTTTTTTTAATCAAATCTTCTTTCAAAAACATATAAAAATCTTTCCGACCCCAAACATTTGAATGGTAGTGTAAAATCAATGTGTATAATAATAATTTAACATATTAGAAAGTGTTTGACTTTAGTAATAAGCTATAAATACATGCATATATATTAGCTAGTTGATTTAAACATTCTCAAAGACCCGTTAAATCTCTTGTTCCAATGTAAAAGTGTTTACAATGTTTTCTGTGCTCTAATGTGCAGAGTGAAGAATTATCTCAGCGACAAGGTTCATTTAATGTGTTACCGGATCTGTGTACGAGCCCTCACGGCCATCATTACCTATCATGACAGGTATTGACACACAAACACTTCCATATTCCAGTATTAAACATTATTAGAGTTGTCATGTTGCTTGGTGACTACAGCTACACATCTGTATGCCTGTTGCATTGTTTTATTTTCCATATTTCTTACTATCCACTTACTTTTTTTCCTTCAAGTGAGAATAAACCCAAAAACGGAGGAATCTGTGTGGCCAATCACACCTCGCCTATCGACGTCATCATTCTGGCCAGTGACGGATGCTATGCTATGGTATTGTGATGTTTGTATTTATGACTTTGGTTTGGTATTGATATTTAATGTAATATGAGTCCTCCGGTTCTACTCGCACCGCTCTGAGTGAATAATTCTGTATGCATCAGGTGGGCCAGGTCCATGGTGGTCTGATGGGGGTCATTCAGAGGGCGATGGTGAAGGCCTGTCCTCACATCTGGTTTGAGAGGTCTGAAGTGAAGGACCGACACCTAGTGGCCAAACGGTAACATTGCATTTAATCACATGCATCCATTTTCTTACATTTACAATTTGAGCATTTCTGTTTGTCACAAATTCAAACAAATTAGTATTATTATTATTTTTAGTTTAAGTGACCACGTTGCAGATGAAGGCAAACTGCCAATCCTTATATTCCCAGAGGGTGAGTGTTAAAATTCCTGTTTATAAATAACCATTTCATAGTGAAGTATGTGTGGAATAAATGACCTTTTTTTTTGTCTTTTCTGAAGGAACTTGTATAAACAATACTTCAGTCATGATGTTCAAGAAGGGAAGCTTTGAGATCGGCTGCACAGTTTATCCTGTGGCCATAAAGGTAAGAACAACCTCCTTTTTTGTGTTATACGTTGTCTTCATTGTTATAAAGTGGCTTTAAATTCCTCTGGCTGTTGTTTTGACAGTATGATCCTCGCTTTGGTGATGCGTTCTGGAATAGCAGCAAATTTGGGATGGTGAACTATCTGCTGCACATGATGAGCAGTTGGGCCATCGTGTGTAGCGTCTGGTACCTTCCACCAATGAGCCGAATGGTGAGTGGTGAAGCTTCAAAGAGATGGAAAAACTACCGTTCAAAAGTTTGTTTTAAAGAAATTAATACTTCTATTCAGCAAGGATGAATTCAATTGATCAAAAGTGACAGTAAAGACATTTATATTAATAAATAATATATTATTATAGACTCAAATAGAAAATAGTTGTTTTGGATTGTAATAATATTTCACAATATTCATATTTGTACTGTATTTATGATCTAGTAAATGCAGCCTTGGGGAGAATAATAGACTCAAAAACATTAAAAAGTCTTTCAGACCCCAAACTTTTGAATGGTATTGTATTTTTTTTTATTTTTTTTTAAACATCTTTGCATCTTGGAGCTTTTTGCCACCCCTTCATTATATTTAGGTGAGTTTAAAATTCTTCTTATTTTTACAGGAAGGGGAGGACGCTGTGCAGTTTGCCAATAGGGTAAAAGCAGCCATCGCTAGAAAGGGAGGACTGGCAGACTTGTTATGGTTGGTTCCTCTTTAAAAAGTGTCAAACACAAATGTAATATGAGTTGGGACTTAAAGAACACTCATTGATATTTTAAAATGGAATAAAGCTTAAACCTTTTGTGCTTTGCATGCTCACAGGGATGGTGGACTGAAACGAGGGAAAGTCAAAGAAGTTTTCAAAGAGGAGCAGCAGAAACTTTACAGCAAGGTTTTAGTGGGCAGCAGCGAAGACCGCAGTCGCTCTTGAAGAGATGCAGCTCGACTGGCCCCTTCCTGAACCTGCTCGGACACAACTGTAGAACAGAAGCGATGAAGTCATTCGTGAGCTGTGTTGCCAGACCCTCGGCTCACTGCTGCGCCTCAGGAGCTTTTGCATTGTTGCACGATTGTCTCTGTTGCTTTCAATTCCTGGGCTGACTATGATTTCCGTTTGGAGTGAGAGTTACACATGGCATACTTGAGTGAATTTTTTTTTCATTATATTTATTTATTTTTTCCTTCACAGTTTGTTACATTTTTGAATTTTTGTGCTCTTTTACTGTAATGCATGATGTCCCAGGAGAAGGAAGAGTGGAAGAGTTTGAAGTGATTTATTTAAGATTGTGTAAAAAAGTGAAGGGATGATGTGCGTAGAACTGTAATGTTGGTAGAACCATGAAGAACAATGTCTATTAAGTGTTTAGCTGCTCAGATCATCTCCTCATGGCAGCCTCTCTAGTGTGCTGTTTTTTTTTTTTTATACAGTAGTTGGGCCTGATTTTCGTCTTGCACAGTCAACATCTCTTAAGAATTTTCAAAACAAAACCCTAACTATCTTTGTTATATATCCATAATGTGTAGGGCAGTGTAATGAAAAAGGAAAATCTTTTAAGTTAGAATGGCTGGTCAAAGGGTCTAGACCAGGGGTGTCCAAACTCGGTCCTAGAGGGCCACTGTCCTGCGGAGTTTAGTTCCAATTTGCCTCAACAAACCTGCTTGTAAGTTTTTAGCATGCCTAATGACCTTCAACCGCTAATCAAGGTCTTGATTAGCTGTTTCAGGTGTGTTTAATTGGGGTTGGAGCTAAACTCTGCAGGCCAGTGGCCCTCCAGGACCGAGTTTGGACACCCCTGGTCTAGACAGTGTACTTTTTTCATTCCACCGTTTTTATCAGCAAAATACATCTCTGTGAGAACTGGCGAAACGGTAGCCTAGAAATCTAGACGCACCCTAGCGGCAGCGAAAATTATTTCGCAGCCAGTGTGGTCTAGCAACTCTCCATAGGCTTTTGAGCTGGAAAAACCAAAAACTGGTCAGGCCAATCACATCGTGTATAGAGTCGGCGGGCGGGCTTAACACAATGACGGCACAGTTCATGCCGTTCCGCGTGATTTCCATAGGTGATTTCCCTGCTACTTGAAAACAATGAAGATGCAGCGGTCTTTCGAATCGGCTTTGGCCGCGACTCTGGAGGACTTGTGAGTTAAGAGAACGTCACTTGTCATTCTTAAAAAAGGAAGATGTGTTCGGAGTTTTGCCGACCTGATACGGCAAAAGTTTAATATATGAATTAGCTCCGCTGGTGGAAAAACGCATGGGACTCATGCTGCGTTCCAGGCAGGTTTTTGAGCACGTAAATCACGACTTCAAACCACGACTCACGACTTTGTAGCATTCCAGGCCAGTCACGCCAAACTACCTGAGCGCAATATACATACTTATTTTTTCAGACACATAACATTGTAATACATAATCGTGTGTGTATATACATACTTATTGTTTCAGACACATAACATTGTAATACATAATCTTGTGTGTATTATTATCATTATTATTATATTATTATTAATTTGACTGCAACGTTATATTGTCCTAAAGTGTATTCTCACTGTGTACCGCCTGCAGAAACACTGCATCTGTAGGGGCTGCCATTGTTGTTTTGTATGGTTTTGCGGGCTATGTGACGTCAGAACTCGTAACTGGGAGTACATCGATCTAGTACGAGTTCACGGGTGGGAAGTCAGGGGATTGACTGCCGTTCCAGTGCACTTTCACGGGTATAAGGTTGGAAAAACACGGGTTACAGGTTGCCTGGAACGCGGCATCACTCATCCACAACCGTTCGTTGCTCTGGTTGGTTGTAGCGCTATCCTATTGAATGCAGAGGGATTTTGAAAGGTTTATCCCGCCCCTCGGATTGAGGCATGTCAATGGAGAGTTCCCAGACCTAACATCTTGATGTAGGTCTGGCATGCCAGGCTAGCGAAACGGGTCTATACAGAAAAACGTTTAACTTTTTCATCTGTAAAAAAAGCCCATTATCTGTTGTCAAAAGTGAAGCGATGTATGAAACACAGCTCACGCAAAAGCCACTTTCACAAATCAAGCAACTGTTGGTCAATGCACAGAATTCCGGAACAGCCGATGGGAAGTCTGCGTAGGGAAATCGTTCGTCCGATCGCGAACATAAGCCAAACATCGGTAAATGTGACCGCACCTTAATCATAAAATAACGTTATAAATAATGACAATTATGTACTGATGTTCCTGCCAATTCCTAGGCGAACTGAACTTCTTCCCTTCTACATTTTGCGCCATTTACTAAATATTGAAAATTAGTATGTAGGCTACTAGCGTACTTTTATGCAAAATGGTTTACCCAAGCGGTTCATTTACAAAACATTTAATTTCTTAATACTTGTCCAAGTAACTTTTCCTCTGCGGTCGCCCTACAACTTGGAAGCAGAATTACCATTACCGCTGTCGTAAATAATTTAGCCTATTGTCGCACGCACGCTCGTTGTTTATCCAGACCAGCACCGGCTTTGGAATGAACGATGTCCACAGACAAGGTAGAGTATGTTGCATGATTTCATGAAAGTATGATGTATTGCGACATCAGAAACGAAGAAAAACTAAATAATGACTATCTGGCTTGACGTAAAGCAAGTCAAATTTGTAGTTCTCTTATGTCTCACTACAGAAACGCGACCCAGTCTGGCAATCTTGATAGCGTGGTTATAGCAGATATAGGACCGCAAAGCGAATCCAGAAGTGCCTTTCACCCTGTTACGACTTAATGAACCACTGAAACGATTTTGGAAACATTATTTTAAGGTAAAAATTTTTTACTTAGTGTTGCTTTAAATCTAGCCTTTTTGTCAGCTTGATTATTAGCATTATGTCGAAATTTGCACAGCACCGTCCCATGGATCTAAAACCAATAATTTATTCATATAACCTATTAATAACAAATGGCAAACGGGATCTATAGCCTAGTTATGAACAAACTCCATGAAATCAGCCCCAGTGCTGGAGGAAGTTTCTATCAATTCTCAAACAGATTGTAGAATAGGCCATTCAAGGATGACACAGGTTTTTAATAGCAAAAAAGTTTTTAATTTCTTAATAACTCTTTATCATTGAATCATGTTTTATTAGATTGTGCAGGTTTTAACCCTGTGCAAAACCTTTTTTACTCGGTTAACTCTTGAAGATTTTTTTTAAACAAAGTTAAACATCTCCGGTTGGTTACTAAATTCGGTTCCCTGAGATGAGGGAATAAGACATTGCATCGGAATCTAACACTTTATGGGAAACCGAAGCAATTTCGAAGTGACTGAAATCAAAACCTAATAGTATAGTTTTAGAGTTTTTAGCAAAAATAAATAGTAAAAACATGGTATAGTTTTACCATATATTTTTCTTGCCATGAAAATAGCCACAGAAGCTGACATGGCATTAAAAAACAAACAAACAAACAATGACATCAGCAGAGAACATCATGTAGGCCTACAGATGTTCATGGGTGGTGGTGACCGCACACAGAGCCTCCATATCTCTAAGCTCCAGAAGAACGTTAAAAATACACCATAAACACGGCTGACCCATACTGGCACAGCACAGGCCAGAAACACAAACCGATTTTGTTGTTCTTAAAGGGCATTTCGATTCAAAGCTTGTGTCAGACAGATGAATTTGACAGGTCCATCACCATGGGGGTTTCGTATCTGTGGAGGAAGAGACTTCAAGAGGACTCTGACTGTCTCGAAGGTGAGCTGGCACACATTTTCTCCTGAACAAAACATTTTGAAACTGTAAAGCATAAGATGGTCTATAGGACTTCTTCTCATACTGTGTTTTGACAGGTTCATGAAGGATGCAGGGCAGGTGACGCTGGACTGCAGGCAAGGGACGTTATTTTGGAGATGAATGGTCAGGATACTGGAGCAATGTTGAATGTGAAGGCTCAGAATAAAATCAAGATAAATGAACATCAGCTTTGGCTTCTCATTGAAAGGTGGTAAAATCACAAAATAATTCGACTTTGTTTTGGCAGCATTACATGATTCCATAAATGCTACAGGTTACAAGCTTACCATCCGTCAAGACAATTTTAGGGAGCAATCTTTTGTACAGTGCATTATTTTCATGACAAGAACATCACTCAAAAAAATATATATATTTCAGACTGTTTTTAAAATTTACCAATTTCAATTGTAAAGTAAAATTCCATCAAATTGAATTGTATAAATCTTACATATTCATATTATTGATTAAGATTTTTTTTAGATGTGTAAAAAAACCCCAGAGCTTAATAAAACATTTAGTATAAATCTTAATATAGGCCTAATATAATACTTTACTTTATTTGTGTTCGAGGACTGGAAATACTATAATATTTCTCATTATCTTACAGACCTGCACAAACCGCTGTCCTGCAGCACTGTGGTCACCCTGATCCAAGACTCCCTGTTCATTCGGTTAGTTATTCACACAGTTAACTGGCCAGCTCTTTGTGAACATAAAGTTAATGTTAAATGTTACTACAGTGAAGGCCCGTTTAGCTTGTTTGATTAAAGCTGGATTGTGACAAGAATCCAGTTTTCTGTTGTGCAACTTCCTGCTGTTCTTCTTACCCTGCAGGCGTCAGTCAGGCCAAAGCAAACCCATGAGTGCAAGAGCTGAGTGCACTAGACCCATGCTGTGTATAAACAACATCACATGTTTCTCATTGTTCATGTGTTCAGCAGTTCTCAAAGCTTCAAAGCCCCACAGGAGAGACACTGCAGTCGTAACCAGCTGAAACAACAGGAGCAGGCTGGAGCATGCAAATACTAATATTACACTGGAATAATGTTTGCCTTCAATTCAAGTTTGTACATTTAGTTTAATACCATTACATGGACAAAATTTCATGTTGAAGGCTTTTGAAAGCTTTGCTGCCATCTTGTGTTCCAGAAACAAATCAAGTCAAAATTAAGACGTCATATCTCATATCGTATTAGTTATTTTAGAATAATTGATATACTATTATAGTTTTTGTTAATATTTTGTATTCAATTTTATTTTTATATGATTTATTTTATTTTCATTTTAAGTTTTAGTCATTTTGTGTGTTTGTGTCATTTGTATTATTGTTTTTTAAATACCTCTAGTTTTGTATATATATATATACAGATATATATATGTGAGAGAGAAAGAGGGAGATTTTTATTAAGTTTTAATTTAAGTAGTTATTTTACT